AACACAGCAGCAACTAACCACAAAAGATTTTGGGGCTAGCAGCTGTTAGCAAACCAAACCCTACTCTGCAATTGTGGATCTGAAAATTTATAGGTTTGATTGAAAAGTGAACAAGCCTCCCGTGCTTTACAGTGCTGCTAAACGGCATCATCTTTGATCTAGTGCCTTAGCCATACCAGTGGGACAAACATTTTTTGAGAAAAGGGTAACAGCCCAAATAGCTCTATATTTTCCAAGTATGAAAATCATCCAGCTCAGTTTCTTTCAGACATATTCATTCCTCTAGGGCAGATGAGGTATTTTCTTTCACTATTTAACAGCAGGGGGCATATTCAGTGTATGCCAGCAAATTTTAATGAAATCAATGAAGCAGCACTGATTTGCAGTAATTGAGAGTACAACCATGTGTTCTAATGCCAAAGAATCTGGATATTTTAAAGGCTTGTCTTGCCTTCCTTTCTGGGAAGGGGGGTGTGGGGGGAAATCAAAGTCCATTTGTTTTGTGGAATGGGCTTCCATCTAAGATAGCAGGGACAAGAAAACACCTGTACAGATATTTAAAAATCCTGACATCTTTCTTTCTGCCTTTGTAATTAAAGTGTATTTTTTCTTGCTGTGCTAGCCAAATTTCCACTCTCTACACTCCTGTACAGGTTGTTCCCACCACTCTGAAATTAGAATGTAGCTAGTGTTTGGACACATCTTGTGAATTGATTTTGATCTAAATGATTACTAGATGCAAACATCAGAAGGCCTTTGGGTTCTGCATGCCACGTAAACAGAACCATAATATAGGCACTAGAGTTGGCTGCAGAGTGCAGCTGCGTGCCATTCATTTACATGTGCTAAGAGGAATTTTTACAAGCTAGTTATAACTGTGAATAATTTAAATCTGGGGCTAACATTACTGTGTTTAAATTGCCTTTAGTCCACTGAGTGGGAACTGAGCAGACGTCTACTAATATTATACTCAATGTAACTGCTATGATTTGATAGGCATGCATGAAATGCTCATTATGGGACATTCTGAATGGCTTTTGCACACTGAGGATTGGATATAGAAAATCCATTTTTGTTTTGTTCCTTTTATCAGGCTGATTCTGATCAAAGTGCTCTTCAGCTGTTAGAATGGATCAGCTAAGTCTCTCACCCACAGAAATCAGTCTCTAGGAGACTTCTCTAGGGGAAGGGTTTAGATGTTCCAGCTGTTGATTGTATTTGGAGGCAGGTCTAATCCATGAGAATCTATTTGCAAATTCACAAAAACCTGTCAGCCTTTACTTTCAAAACAAGTTTTACATGACATACCTCGCAAGAAGAGGCATCGTCAGTTTGGCAAATGAGGAAACTGAGGCTCAAAAAGGTGAGACCTCAGGTTTTCAAGAGCAGCTGCTAACTTTAAGGCTCTCAACAAGTTTGTCTCCTAGAAAGTAAGAGCAATTTGGATAATGCTGTGGAATGAGAATGCATTGCATCCATACCATTTCCCAAGAAAGCCCTCTAATATTAGTGTTACTGCATGGACTACATAGAAAGCGGACACTATCCCTGCTTATTAATGCAAACCTGCAACTCCTGTTGTGTTTTTTATTTAACTCGGTACTCAGTGTGAGATATATATATTCTCAAAGCCCACCCATCGTATCAAGCCTTTCAGGTAATTCATGAATACAGATACCTAGTTTTGGATTTCAGATGTGTTTTGACATGAGAACAATGATGCAGCTCGGGCCTACTGCAACAGCAGTTGTTCTACACACGAGCAGCAAACAAATACAAGCTTAAGAGACTAGGTAAATGCTGAGGGCTGCATTTTCAGCCCTAGACATTCAAGTTCCTCTTAGGTCCTTTCACAGAGCTGGACTCCAGTAACTGAGGTAAGATCACAAATAAGTTAGGTAAGATTCAGGTCCCATATACAGGTCTTCCAAATCCTTTTCTCTCTCCCATTCTTTCCCCACATTTAATGTCCATGTCCTCACCATCCACCATCACCATTCTCAGCTCTTTTATTTCTATATACAAATATTTCAAGTATGCCAGCTTATGAATGATTAAGTCATTCAAAAGAATTATGACACTGGTTTTGCTCAAGTCAAACTTCAAATCTGCTGTAAGATTTACCATTAACCATTTATCAAAGTGCAGGGAAAGAGCACCTGAGAGTGATTTGAGAAGTATACATATTGCAGATTTGTGATAAGCATCCAAAGGTGATGGGTGCATTGGCACGTCCTACAGAAACCAGTGGCATCGTTATTTATTGTGCAAATATATAAAAGACTATACTGTACGAGTTTTAGTAATGCCAGACACAAATCTTTTTAACTAGACAAGTGCATTCTTGTGTTTCATTACAGTCCATATACACCTTTAAACACATTTGCTTAAAGCTACTGGAAAGAACAAGCCAGTTAAAACATTTTGCCAGCCCTGTGAAAAAAGCCAGCATGCTCACAAGCCATGTCTTTAAGCCTATGCAAAACTATCATAATTGTCATTACTGCTATATGGCAGAGGTAATGAAGTGAAGGCGAACAGGATTTCAGGCACCTTTGGCAAGCCAAATATTAAACACATATTAGAATTATTCAATAATTACAGTCTCAGAAAAAACCCAACCCAAAGAAATAGTCTTACTTCTACTGCACAGCCATGATGTTTGTGTGTACTTTTCTCCTATGGATGCACTGATGCCAGATCACAATTCTGAAAAACAAATAAAGCTGGTTTTCTATATTCTCTATTCTGCATTTCTACAAATCATGTTACCCCCCCAATTAAGGAAAGTTAGACTAGATGCTCCTTCTTTACTGAGAGGACTTACTGCTGCGGCACTCACTGCTAGCAGAATCTAGGTCCTGGTCAGTCTTTAACAAGGAGTCTATCGCAGTAGCTGAAAACATTTACAGAGTCAAAATATTTTTGCAAAAACTTTTAGGATTAACTTTCTACCATTTTCCCAGCAGCCACATGTATATATAGTAGACACGCAATTGCGTTCAAATCAAAAAGATCTCCTAGTTAGGCAGTTACTGTCTGACTGCTGTGCACAGCAAACTTCTTCAGGGCAAACGAGTCTCTTACCACCAAACGCTTCTGTCCTCAGTGAAAGTTCGGGTAGATGCTTCACCCTCAGGGCTGGGGACTCTCTCTCAATATGCACACAGCAGATCCACTACACTAAACACTTCCTCCTCTAGGGAAAGTACTTTATAACTATTATGCACCGATAGGCTGTTGACAAGACCGAACTAGTCAGTCATGATCAGACTGAGATGGAAGTTACCTACTTCTTCTGAAGTTACTTGCAGAAATAAGGAGATGGAAAAGATCAGCCAGAATCTCAGTTCTCTCTACAATTTTTGCATTATATCCATCATTCCAAACTTCTAACATTATGGAATCTGAAGACTTTTTCTCTATGAGCAGAAATATCCTGCTATGAATTCTGAAATTAAGTTCTAGTAAGTTTATTGTCAAATTCTTTACAAGTAATTTATGTTTAATGTTTGCATACACATTTTGTTTTAGCTCTTTGCTAAGAAAATATTTATTAGGCTTGGAAGTTTAACATAGTAAATCAAACACTTAACATTCACTGGACTTCAAACATAGATATAAAATACCTTACAAAATTTTTAATGGAATTACACAAAGCAAATGCACAGGGTTTGTCTGTTTCTACACTGAATTAATCCCAAGCCAAAACCAAAAAATAACCCCTAAAAGATCACAAAAAAGGCATGATAGACGGCATTTTTGTCATTGTTGCACTGCTATGTAATAAGCCCTTTTTACAAACATTTACTTA